TTAATCAAGCATGTCGCCAGATAGCAATGTCATGAGATAATCATTCCAGCTAGTCCATCAAATTCGAAGTCATTGAAGTACATGATCCCTCATTACCACGTGCAAAGTCTCCAAGTCGAGACTATCCAGAAAAGAAAAGAAATGGGGAAGTAGAGACAGATGGAAGGAGAAGAATATCGTAGCAATCAAGTCCCTCTTCTCCTCCAGGCTTCCCCACTTCTGCCACGTCAGCAATCTGTATACAGTCTGACACATGGATGATGTAAATGCAGCCCCTCACAGACGAGTGAACCTTCAACAGCGAGCAGAATCAGCAGCAGCATCACATCAGGTGAGACCAGATACGTGCCCACGACATCACACCCCGTGCACACACTCTCGCTCTCTCTCCTCACTACCTCACCGTCTTCTATGGCCGCAGCAATAGCCGTCTTCTCCTCTCTCTCCTTCCATACTACAGCATCTGGCTGGCGCCCAAGAAGCAGACTGGTGCCAGCATCCACCTCTCAAGTCTCACGTGCAGCATTGAAGCCGCAAGCAACTCGCAAGAGTAAATGTCCAAGCAGGGGCGGGGTCAACTCTATATGGTGTTCACTCGCATTGTCCAGGGTCAGCTTCCGTCCATGTGAGGCCCGGACGTCCAAATGTCGACAGCTCAGATGCAATTTGTCCCAGTTTCTGTCTGGATCTTCCGGAACCTGCAGACCACCGTCCGATCATTCCAGATCAACGGCCAGGAAATCTTATGTGTTGACTTCGACTTCTCGGATCTGGGCCTGGGTCCACAAGTTGATTGTTGACATTTGGTCAACTGTCGGTCTGGGCCTCTTCCTAGGGCCTGTTTGGCCTTTTTCAGGGCATGCCCGTTCGTGCTTGTTTTTGGGGTGCCTAAGGCATGATCCGAGCCCAGAAGGGCTCAATTTGGCACACGAGTTACAGCATTCCAGCCTGCCTGCTTTCGAGTTTCACCACAGAAATTCCATTTCAGACATTATTTCTTAGACTTCTCTCGTAAGCAGAGATGATATCCCGAGCAGTAGGTACCAGCGAGCTTCAGACAACGGTTGGTTAGAAAACTTTACCTTATATATTGCTTCATAGGGTAGCAACTTAGAGGCATGGAAGACTGGGTAAGTCCTTAGATGAGCGGGTACATCAATTCGATAAGAAGGTCCGCTGGTATCCCCTATCACTTTGAGAACTTCCCAGGGTCCGTAATAGACAGATAGCAGTTTCTACAAGACATTTTCTTCAGGTGAGAATTCATTGGATTTAACCATACCATATCTCCCTCTTTGAACTGCGCAGGCTGTCGTGCTTATTTGCCTGTTCAATCATTTGCTGATGGGCTTTCCTTATGTTCTCTTTCACCTTGTCAAAGTCTTGCTCATACAGAACTGCAGATTCTCGGGTTCCTTGGGGCAGCCTTTGGATTTTATCTCTTGTTAGAGAGTCGATCGGTCTCAGAGGTTGCCAACCTTTGTGCAGTGCATTGGGTGTTCGTCTTGTAGCAGTATGTACACTGTTGTTGTATGCACTTGCAACCTCGAGTAGGTTCTCATCCCAGTCCATCTGGTCTGGACGCACATACATGCGTAGGAGCTGTTGGCACAACTTGTTCATTTGTCCAGTTTGGCCGTTGGTCTCAGGATGTCGTCCTAATGACATGGTCAATCTGCCGTAAGCTTGCATCAGTTTCTGCCATTGTTTTCCGGTGAATCTCACGTCTCTATCAAATACAATGGTTGTATGAAATCCATATTCAGAAACCCACAGCATCTGAATTTTTTGGATGGTAAGTTATCTTCTTGCTTCAGATGGCAAGGGCACAAACATCATGTGCTTAGAGAATCAGTCCACGATTACCATTACCTGACTGCTTCCGTTTCGGCTCTTCGTTAGGCTCATGAAGTCGATGGAATGGACTCACCTGGTCTTTTAGGAATTGGTAGTGGTCTAAATTGTCCCAAAGGACTCTCGTGCGATGGCTTGTTGCGCTGGCACACAAGGCAAGTTCTCACGTACGTTAGTGTATCATTCTTCATTCCTTGTCAAACAAAGTGTTATCGAACATTGGCAAAAGTCTTTTTAAGCCCAAAGTGTCCCTCTGTGCCATGGCACTCTGTTCCCCCACCGCCCCCTTCCCTTCCCTCTGTTACATGCTGCGCGTGCACACACGGGCCATTTCTCAGGCCCTGCGTCCTTCAGGCCAAAAGCCTGAATTTCAGGCCAAAAGCCTGAAATCCAGGGCTTACAGGCCCCATGTCGGATCAGGCCGAAAGCCTGAATTCCAGGGCCACAGCCCCTATGTCGTTTCAGACTAAAAA